ATTCTATTTTAGTCCGCAAGGGGCACAACGCATCTGCATTTTGATTCCAAATTGAGGATAAATTTAGATGTCAATGGGCCACAGCATATACTTAACACCAGGTGCACTGTGTGCTTGTTTGTCACCCTCATTCTATAAAAAGAATAATTGTTACTACTTGATTAGTCCATTAAATTGTAATAATAATAATAATAATAATAAAAACTATACAACATATCACCAGTGCTTGCCCTAGCCTAGCACAAACTGATTACACCCACCGGCATAACCAGGTTGCTAATTACATTCATCAAAAGCTTGCAAATAAATACAATTTAATCCCGAACCAACTACTATTGCCATACTATCAATATACCCCTAAACCTGTTCTGGGGAGCGACAGTCACAGAATGTACTTTGATAGAGCTATTCTTACCGATAAAACGATTCATTACAATAGACCGGATATAACTTTAATTGACAAATTAAATAAAATAGTATACCTAATTGATATAGCAATCCCAAATACCCATAATCTACAAAAAACCATTACTGAAAAAATTCTTAAATACACAGAACTAAAAGAAGAAGTAACTAGAATCTGGAAAATGAACAAAGTATACATTGTGCCGCTGGTGCTCTCCAGTACTGGTGTGATCCCGAAATGTTTGCCCCACTCCCTTAAACTATTAGATCTTCCTGAAAATAGTTATATTACCATGCAAAAAGCAGCCATCCTCAACACTTGTCGTATAGTCCGAAAATTTTTGCAAGAAGACACCTCAAATTTTGATTCCCAAAGGGACGCGCACTTGGCTTAGGCCCGTGAGCATTTCTTAAAAACCAAGATCTTAGAAAATCTTGAGAAAAAAAGGAGTAGAAAAGATAATAATAATAATACATGTGCGGTGGACTGCCGGCCGAAATTATACCTGTAGTCGTTTCTGCGAACGGGTTAATCCCAGTCAGCCTCTCGGGTCATCTGAGGCAACTGGGACTCCGTGACGGACCGCTCCAAGCTCAAATGCAGAAGGCGGTGCTCCTCGATACCGCCCGCATCGTCTGCCGGTTTCTTTCCCTTTCCCCCTAACCCTCGGCCGTCTGGTCTCCCCTGCCGAGGGCTTCCATCTGGTTGGGTTTTTATTTATTTATGTATTTTTTATGCATTTATTTTATTTTGTTGATATTTATGTATGTATCATTTTCATTTACAATTATATATTTATACAGCCCAACCAGATGAGTAAACTATATAGATGCCCCAAATAATAATAATAGTTTAGTTTAGTTTAGATAAGTAAATATATTGCAAACCATTATCATGGTAGAATGTAAAGTCTCAATAATAACTAATAAGATCATTAATGTATTACATTCTGGCAATAAATAAAATTGAATTGACTTGAATTAACGTTCTTTGCAAGTCAATCTTATTCCTTCCCAGTGAGGTAAAAAGAAGCCCAAAAACGTAAGCCAAAATGTGGAATAAAAATGCCAAATACAAAAATATCATAGTAGTTAAGATAGACATTAAAAATAAATATAAAAATTTCCTAGGCAAACTAGAAATATACAAAAGAGTTGGTTAATATTGCAGAATTTTTTTCATATTTATTTCTGTCACACAAAACTCCAAGTGCCGGTTGCAACGGAACTCGGCGCATTAAATGAAATATGCCCCGCCGACGCGTTAATAACCAGAACTTGTCGAGGATTTATAATTATCGCGAGATGTCAGCAGCAGCTAAAGTCGACCCTAATGCCTTCAGTTTGGAAAATATTTTACTTTGCAGTGAGTTAATTAAAAACAAGCGATAATCACTTCACAGCTATTTTTGTGCTGAAAATCAGAAAATCAAATGCAAACACAGTAGAATGCAGTTATTGCTAATTTGGCGCTACGTGTCGACGTTGCCGAAGCAAGAATTATTGGAAAACAACTCTACGAATAAAAGTTGCAGAGAAGTAATTATTTTTTTCTCCGGTTTGTAAAGCTCATTACCTTGTTTTCTTAAATCAAAATATTAAAATTAGTATTCTCGCCTAAAATGAAACCAGAAATACAATTGTTTCAATATTGCAACGTACTTCCCGTCACATTCAGGTCATGTTCTTACTTCTTATGTTAAAATATACTATAATATACCAGTTACTAGACTCCACAGAATCAGTAATTCATTTTTGGGGCAATGTATACGCTTTTACAACAAAATCCCAGAACATATTCAAAGTTTGTCAATAAACAAGTTTAAAAGTTTTAATAAAGAAAAACTGTACAAAAAGGGTTATTATAATATCAAGGAATACATGAATGAAAATAACCCCTGGGAATAAGGTGATCGCCACCATGTTGTTTCTATGAAAAATCATTTAAAATTGTATAAACGAAATTATTGTTAAGTGATGTTTGAAAAAATAAGTTCCGCTGGGTTTCTTGCTGGTTCTTCCCAGGACTGAGGTATTTTCCGAACCAGTGGTAAATAAAGACTTTCAATAAGTATTATGTAATAATAAATATTGAATAAAAATTATTCTATTCTATTCTATTCTGCTATTTTTAATGGAAATTAAGTGACAAAAGACTTTACTATCCTCCAAACACACACACACACAAACACACACACACACACACACACTTTTAGTAGAGACACCAGTCTCTCTGAATAAAATTGATTGTAGCATAATATCAATATTAAGCTGTATATTGTGTTATTTTTTTAATTTAAGAGAAAAGAATAAACTTTATTATTATATTATTATGGCGGGTGAAAGGAAAGGTGTTCTGCCCGAGGAGCGGCCAACGCTCCGAGTTGTAGTTCAGAGCTATTCTATATATACCGCTTTAACTTCGGAAATTAGTTAGCGCGATTTAGGCTTCGAAGTGTTTCGCTTATGGCACGACGACAGCGCTGCCACATCAGGCCCCGCTCAGACCGGAGGTCGATAGTGCAGTCCGATTGCCGGTGCGTCCTTAATGCCGGTGGGGAATGCATGCTGTGTGCGTAAGGGCAAGTGACGCCGGTGCGAACGATATGCCGGTGTGTAATGCATGCCATACTACGCACTTGCAAGTGATGCTGGTGAGAACGATGAGCCGGAGCAAGTGCCAGAAGTCTGCCTTATAAATCTGCGGTGAATCGAGAAGAAAGCAAGTATAATCTGTGAGAGTGTCGTGAAGCAGAGGCGAGCAGTAAGGCTCAAAGCCGTGCTGAACTCTGTAACGCAGAGAGTAGATTGAAGGAACAGGAAGCATTATTATTCCAGTGCTGCGATGAACCTTTATAAAGCTAGATAGATGGCTTGCAGAATGTGAAGACTGCAGACAATATCTGCTCGAGAGCGAATCAATGGGGTACTTAAGGACGATGACGAAGGTTTTGAAGTTGTAGTTTCCGAAGGTTGTTGGTTGCGTGTTCGAATCACGTCGGGGTCACCAGTGTAGCCGGTGAAGGAAAAAGGGGGAGATCTCCCGCCGGACAAGATGTTCTACCCGGGGAGCGGCCAACGCTCCGAGTTGTAGTTCGGAGCTATTCTATATATACCGCTTTAACTTCGGAAATTTGTTAGCGCGATTTAGGCTTCAAAGTGTTTCGCTTGTGGCGCGACGACAGCGCCGCCACATTATTATTATTATACACACCTGATGGTAAGTGGCCACTAAAGTCCATGGGCACCTATAAATAACATTAAAGTAAAGAAGGTTGAAGATGTTTTGTTACCTCTTCACAGTCTGCAATTATGCTGGTTTTATATAATTTAGATCATAACATAGAAGTAGTCTATGCTCTATGCTAGTCGGTTATGAGTAGTCTGAATTTGTCCCATAGACAATTTGGTCGATTAACTTGCGTTTGGGCGTCCCTTGCCGATTTTGGCACTCATTTCCGCAGCATAAATGACCTTTTTCACTCCTTTCTCATTAATTCTTTCTACGAGTCACAGAATCCAGGTCACAACTTGTTGTAAACCACACTATTCTCTTATCACACAATTTCTCATGCTATCATTCAGAGGCACACTTTAATTAAATACTTACTCTGTAGTGTAGAATTCACTTCTTGATTAATAAAATAAACGCGGATTTAAAAGATTGACATAGATTTATTGTTCACAAGTTACTCTCTCGGATGTTACAACACGAATGCCTTGTGAACTAATGCTAAAATCAACTTTGACAGTTCTCAAAACGATCGGTCATAGACAAATGCGGTATCGATATTTATATCGATACTTTGCCTTTTAAACAATCGATTTCCATAACGAATAATAATAAATCATTATAATTATTACAGAGGCATAAGTAAAGAAATATAGTGATATAATTATCCTTAACATAATAAGTATGTTAACAATTCGGCCATCCTAAAATAAGTGAGTCCTCTCACTTGATTTATTACAAGATGATATTATTAGCTTTTGTAAAATTTAGTAAAATTTACATAAAAATATCTATTGGCGTTATACAATTTAACAATAATACATTTTGTGTTTATACACCTTACAAAAATAGGAAGACAAGAGTGAAAAATAAAATGCTAAACAAAATAAATAAACTATGCATATTGGCGTAGTCTGTTACGATCTGCAACCATCTGTGAACTGTTTTCACTAATTACTCGCAACCTAAGCCTTATAATTTTTTTTAATACCTATCCATAGTCTGCTATGATCTGCGATCATCTGTGAGTCCTTCACTGATCGCTCATAGCCTATGTCATTCGATGTGAGTGTACTGTCTGTCACGATCTGCGATTATCTGCGCGACAACACTAACTGTTCACGACCCATACACATCTATAAATCTTTCACCACTACAGAATAGTCTGTTTCTATGTGCAGCCATCCCTACCTTCATCATACACTAATTACTCCTAACTTACAGGTTAATCAACATTTTGTAAGGTTTAGGCCACCGTCGAAACGCATCAACTTTATGAAATCAACAAAAACGATATAATTACATAACGAAATTCGTCAAATATCATTTTTATTATTCAATTTACTCATTACTTAAGTCGGTACTAGCGGTCACTATCACCATGGTCGTTGTCGCTTCCGCTTGAAATTGCTTTATAATTTAACCAAGGATGTATTTTATCCAGAGCTACTACGTTTTCATACCGCATTTTCCCTTTTCTGGTTAAAGGCGTATCCTCAACAAGAAACCTATCATTCGGTAGTAATTTCTTAATCCTATAGGGGCCATTAAATTTCGGTAATAATTTTTTTGATTTACCTAAGTGTTCTCTATCAATAACTGTTCTCTCAATCCTAATTAAATCGCCTTCTTTATACTGTGTTGCGTGTTTCCTCCGTTCATCAAATGCCCTTTTTGAATTTTCTTGTTGCTTCTCTATTCTATCACTCGCTGCGGATCTCATTTCCACTAAATTTTCTCCTTGCGTGTACTCGGTCGTCGGGCTTATAACATCTCCGAGAATGGTCTCTGACACATTCATTAGTTTATAACCGAACAATAACTCTGAAGGACTTTTGCCAGTTGCCCTGTTCACTGTTGTATTCATTCCTAACTGTATATCAGCTATGTACTCATCCCAGGTGTTATCATTTTTACCATGACATTTAGTACTTAAAGCATCCGTTATCGTCCTATTGTATCTTTCCACTTGTCCATTGGCCCGCGGTGTGGCAACTGCATTTAATATATGTTTCAAAACTAAGCTCCTTGTGAATGACTTAAATTTTGCGCTCGTAAAGCATGTGCCTCTATCTGTTATTAGTCTGGATGGGATTCCAAAATAGCTAAAATGTTCTCGGAATATTTTAATTGCGGTCGTAGATTTTGTGTCCCTAACCGGTTTAATATTTATAAATTTTGTGAAAGCATCTACAATGACCAAAATGTACGTGTTGCCTCTTCGAGATCGTACAAAAGGGCCTAAATGATCGGCATGTAGTGTATGGAACGGTACTTCAATTTTGGGAATGGGATGAAGCATACCTTCCTTCCTTCCACCTGGGGCCTTATGATGAGCACACTCGAGACACGATGTTACATATTTTTTTGTAAAACGCCTCATTTTGGGAAACCAGAACATACCTTGCAGACGACTAATAGTCTTATCAAAACCGAAGTGTCCTACTTCGTCGTGGTTCATTCGTAATACCTGCCACCTTACTGGCCTCGGTACTAACCATTATCAACTATACGGTAAACATGGTCTCCTTTTAACTGGTAATTTTTATAAATATCTGCAACGGATTTCGTGCGACTATCTTGTAGTACCTCCTTAATGCCCTTAATTTCATCATCGTTACTTTGAACTGTTGCGATGCAGTCCTTTACATCGATTTGTAAAACATCAATCACCCGCGATTCATCTTCGATGGAGGGTTCGTTCACAGGGCTACGACTTAGAGCATCAACGTGTGTCATTCGTGACCCCGCTCTGTACTCAATATTGCAGTCGTATTCCTGGAATTGCACCCACCAAAGTGCTATTCTGGGTATCAGATCCCTTTTCGTAAGCGTGGTTCGTAGCGCATTACAGTCGGTAACAATTTTAAACTTTATACCTAAAAGATATACGCGAAATCGGTTAAGTGAGTTGATGACAGCAAGAGTCTCTAATTCGAAGGAATGAAGACGCTGTTCTTCCGTGGTAGTTTTCCGACTATAATACGCTACCGGTCTGAGCAATCCATCCCGTCCCATTTGCATGAGTATTCCGGCAATGCCTTGTTTCGACGCATCTGTGTGCAATTCAGTTTCTAAATTGGGATCATAGAGCGCCAACAACGGTCTTTCCACTAACTTCTTTTTTAACGTATCAAATGCTTTTATATGCTCATGAGTCCAAGTCCACTCAAAACTTGCCTTCAAAAGATCGGTAAGAGGTCGTGCTATAAGAGCAAAATTTTGAACGAAGCGTCTAAAGAAGCTGGTAAGCCCGATAAATCTCCTCAGCTCGTGAACATTTTGTAGTTGGGGGAATTTGGAAATAGCATCTGTTTTTTTTGCTCCCGGGCGTATACCCTTTCCATTTACCCGAAAACCCAAAAAGTCTATTTCTTCGAAGAAGAAATAACATTTTTTTAGTCGCAATGTTAAACCTGCTTCGCGTAGTAACCCCAAAACTTCTTCCAGCCGACCAAGACCTTCATCAAAATTTCGCGCCGGTATAAGCACGTCGTCCATATAAACGAGTACGTACTTTACCTTAGATTTAGTTAATATTTTGTTCATCGTACGTTGAAATAATGAAGGCGCATTAGCCAAACCGAATGGCATGCGCGTGTATTGATACTGCCCGTCAGGTGTCACAAATGCAGTTTTGTCTTGTGATTGCTCTGATATAGGTATCTGGTAATACCCAGATGCCAAATCTAAAGTAATAAACAGAGAATTTCCCGACAACATATCTAATTGATCATCGATCAATGGTAACGGGTAATGTTCCTTTCGTGTTTTATTATTTAGGGCCCTATAATCAACACACAGTCTCTTTTCCCCAGTTTTCTTTTTAACAAGTAGAATTGGACTTGCATATGAAGAACTGGATTCACGTATGATGCCTGCGTCAAGCATTTCTTGTACCATCGATCTAACTTCCGCTCTCCGGGGTATGAAAACCTATATGGTCGGTAAACAACAGGTTTGCTATCATTTAACTCTATGTCCATTTTCACTATGTCCGTCATTCCCAAATCACGTAAACTACTTGAAAAACATGTTTCGAACTGTTTAAGGAGATCTTTTAACTTTGATAATTCGTCGCTAGTTATCATCATCAAGGTTTAAAACGCTTACATCAATGGTACGATTCAAAGGTAATGCACGCGTCACCAACGAGTCCTTTTTTAGGCGAATATAATTTTCGGAAACACTATGAACAACTAAACAGCCAGTACCATTACTAATACTGTAATCGCCTGGCACTAAATAGTACTGGTATCCTGGTACACCACGTAGCGTACCGTTTACGTATAAATCTCCTGAGTAGTCACTATCACAACGTATTGGAATAGCAATCATTTCATTTGCCTTGAGCGCCACGTCACTTTGTAAGATTAATTTAAATTTATTCGATGGGTTACGAGTAAAAGTTACAGATTCAAAAGTTTTAGTAAGAATAATTCCAGGTTTTTCCGTGAAATCATGACCAACAAGTATAGGATATTTGATAATACTATCATCAACCACGCAAACTTTTATATCATCAGAAACCCAACAGGAAGTATAGTATTATTACCTATCCCTCGTAGTAATGGTAAGTCTTGAATAGTCCATGTCAAGCCTAACGTTTTAGCAACGCTTTGTTGCATTAAGGTACACTGGCTACCCAGGTCTATGTAGCCTTCGATCACCCTACCATTTACATTCACTTGCATTTTATATTTATTATCGTACTCGTTATTATACTTTAATTGCAAGACATTTTTCTCGTGTAAATTATCACTTTTATTTTTGAAGTTCGTTGAACCCTCGTACACTTTTCAGCTAAATGGCCTAACCTACTGCAAATCGTACATTTTACGATCTTTTTGGTACATTTATAGCTATAGTGTCCCGATTCGTTACAGTTAAAGCAAATAATATTCGAATTAGACATAGGACGCGACTGTCTTTGACCAGTTAATTGGGTATTATTAGTGTAGGCCGTTTTTCTATCTTGAACGCTTTTACAATTATCGTTATCACGGGGTTGCTGTTTAATTGATTGAAAATATTCTAAAACTTGTTCAGGTTCCTGGCATTTGGCAGCCTTAGTTCCCAACCTAATAGAGCGATCTTCTATACCATAGAGAATACAATCAACGGCATGCTTACCTTTGATATCGCAACTTACTTACTTACTTACTTATCTTCACGCACAATCCCTGACGGGGTAGCCAGAGAGAACAGATCGCCAAGTGTCACGATCCTTACAAACCTCTTTCGCTTCTTTCAGATTCATTATCTTCTTCATGCATGCACGTCTAGGTATCCGAGTACTTTTGACCCTACCCTCTTCGAGCAATTTGCTCACATGGTCTTCGAAAGTTAGTCTCGGTCTACCTCGACACATTTTAATATTAACTTTCGTATATTATACTTTAATATATTTTCTTCACCATTCGGTCTTCACTCATTCGCTCAACGTGCCCAAACCACCGAAGCACGCCCTTATCAATTTTTGTGATAAGGTCATCTTTCAAACCTGCCATATTGCGAATCTCTTCGTTTCGCTTTCGGTCGGCCATGGTAACGCCGCACATTTTACGAAGAGATCGCATCTCCACTGCATTCAACTTACTTTTATGCTTCTTCTGGCATACCCAGGTTTCGCTGCCATATAACAAAGTCGGTATCAACACTGCGTTATGTATTGCAAGGCGTGCACTCTTCGCTACGCCTTGCCTTTTGACTAACGCAGTCAGGGCACCATTGACTTTGTTCCCGGCAGCGACACGCCTGTCCACATCTAAATCACATCTTCCATCCCGGCTAAAAGCACTCCCCAAGTATACAATTTCATTTACCTGTTCTAGACATTCCTGATTTACCCATATTTCACACTTCGTTCTCTCTTCGTCCCTTTCAAATACCAGAACCTTAGTTTTATTAGCATTCAAATGGAGACCTTTAATTTCACATTCCTCTTTCATACACGTGACTAATGCCTGCAGTTCTGCCTCTGATGGTGCAATAAGCACTGCATCATCAGCATACAGCAGACAATTTACTTTTATGTCACCCAATTTCACACCCAAACAACTATCTTTCAGCTTCTGTAAACAGCTGTCGAGATACAGTATGAACAGCCAGGAAGACATGACACAACCCTGTTTGACGCCCGTTTGGACGCTAAACATGGGTGACAGGTCATGCCCTACCCGCATACAGGCTTAACAGTCACAGTAAAGAGACTGCACAGCCCTTAGCAATCGACCATTCACACCATACCCCGGCAACAGTTCCCACATTTTCTTCCTTACAACTTTATCAAATGCTTTCTCAAGATCCACAAAAGCACAGAAAATCTTCTGGTTAGCAGCCAGAAGCTTTTCCGTGATCATGCGGAGAGAAAACATTTGATCCGTGCATCCTCTTCCAGGTCTAAATCCGCATTGTGCCTCCCATAGAAATCTTTCCGATTTCTCTTGCATCCTACGTGTCAAAACCTTCGAGTAAACTTTACTTGCTAAACTGGTCAAGCTGATCGCCCGATAGCACCCGCAGTCAAAATGTGAACCTTTACCTTTATATAAAGGCACAATGACTGCGGATCGCCAATCATCCGGGACATCCCCCGTCCGCCAGCACAAATTGCACAACAGATGAAAGCTGTCCCAGACGCGAGGCCCACCATACTTGACCATTTCAGCAGTAACTCTGTCTAGTCCCGCAGCCTTACCACATTTCAAACTTCGAATCGCACGTTCAATCTCTTTCATACTGATGACCTCAGTGTCATCGAGGTCCGGGTCTGGCGTACCAGTCACGGCGTCATCCCCGGATCCCTCACTAAGATCATCACACGCATACATTTCTCTATAAAATTCGCTCCATCGCTGATATCGCAACGATTTAGTAAATTTAACTTTTCGTATAAGTAAAGTTCTAGGGACTCGTTATACCTTACACGTTTGGACAGCATTTCAGTCAACAATTCAGCATAATCATCACTACTGGGAAAGGATTCAATAAGTTTGGTCTTCCACTCGGACCACGAGAATGACATAGTGGGTAACGCTTGGTACCATACTCTAGCTACTCCTGATAGCTTAGGTATTGCATAATGTATGATTTGGTCATCAACCCATTTATATAACTTAGCACACTCTTCTACTTTATGCAACCATATACGTACTGTTAGACCTTTTATCATAGGATCGAATTCTGGCACCACGTTGCCTAACGTAGGAAACTTATTACCGTCAGGGCGGTTAGATGACAAACATTTTACTAATTCTGATAAGATATGTAACGTACTATCCATACCTGCTTCACTCAACGGCTTGTGACGCGACGGTTCTCTCGTTCCTTCAGGCACATGTTGCTGCCAAAGATCCTCTTGAAGTTCACCTTGATGACGCT